AGCTATTATTATTAATTCAGTAATGTTACTAGTAGATGGGCTACCAAAAACAGAATATGCACAATAAAGAGGACTATTCAAATCAGTGGGGAACGGGATGGACTATTCAGCTAACCTATGGCCTCTTCTGGAAAAATGGGAAAAGTGAAGTTGGGTTCTTATACACACTAAGTATTAAATGCCACAATCTGATTTCAAAAAGAAATCCGTAAAATATTTTGAAGAAAACAAATGAGAACATTTACATAATTTCATAAAGTAGAGAGCATTCTTAGCCGAAACTAAAAATCCGAAAGCCAGAAAGAAAAAAGCCAACTTAAACAAATCTAAGTGAAAAGATAACAAAGATAAATGAAATCATGGAAGAAAATATTTGCTATATGTGATTGGTATACATAAAGAACTCCTACAAATTGATAAGAAAACGTCAAATAATCCAACAGAAAATGAACAAAGGATAGACAGGCAATTTATAACTAACCATAAATAGCCAAAAGGAGCTCAATCTCACCTGTTATCAGCAGTTTATGGAACAATGGGATTCAGTCTTAAAATCAGCACTTTTTATTCTGCAACCAACTTGGCCAGAAAGTGAACATTCCATATACCTGCATTATCTCTTTATTTTTTTAAAAACAAAGGCTGACAAGCCAATCCCTCACTCTCCCATTTGAAATAGCTTAAAACAAGTGTTTGTATTAGCTATTCAAACTCAACTGATTGCAAAACGAAACTGAGAAATCGAAAACTACAACCACCACTACCTCTAGAAATGCAAATTAAAATGAGAACTCTGAAAATGTAATCAGATCGACAACACCTGAAAAGATACCATCCAATTCTGGCAAGGATGTGGAGAAACAGGTCCTTTCACATCCTCTTGGTGGGAGTGTGAGCTGCCAAAACTCCCTGGAAAGTAGTCTAGCAGTAGCTATTAAAGTATACAAAGTACACTGTTTTGACCCAGAAACACCACATTTTTAGGAGTCTGTTCTACAGAATTAAAAGCCCTCTTATATTAGCAATATCTCCTAGATTATGAACATCCCTGAACACTTCCTTCCCCTTTATGTCCTAACTGAAGCTTAGCTTGTCCCTGAAGATACTCCCCTGAAACCCTCTCTCCCATTCTTCTCTCTCATACCTGTGGGTATGGAAGTGAGAGAACGGTCCTTCTTGTTCATTCCCACTTTGGGGGATTCTTCTTCCCTTCTCCTTAAAAAGTCCATCTTCATGTAGAGGAGATTAAGAGAATTAACATTAGTGATGATGTCCAGGATTAGAACCACACTTCTGGACTTCCTTTGCTGTGTTCTCTTTCTTACAAGTGCCCCATACTATTTCTACTGGCTCTACTCACTTACCTGTAGCTGAGAACAAAACAACACCGAGAGCCAGAGAGACAGTGTTAGGTGGTAGGAAGGAGGATTCAGAGTTCTGGATTCAAATCTAAGCTCATCACTAACCTTGGGTAAGTTCTCTCCTGATTCTAGTTTACTCACCGATACTAGAACCTACACCATGTGTTTATTGGGAGGGATTCAAAGATACAATGGATCTAGAGAACTTAGGACAAAGTAAATGCTCAATAAGTGTTTCAACAACACTGAAAACAAACACACCTTCAAATCTCAAATTTCTTACCCCCGTACAAGCAGAAAAAAATGGGTTTCTTCCTCTATTGGTCATGCATAGCTCCTTTAATCCCTTCTCTCTTTGTCCATGCCATCCTTTTCCAAGTGTTATATTTGGAAATTTGGGAAAATGAATTCGACAAAAGTGACCTTCCCCATATACTTGTATTCGCTCCTCTTAAAACCCATTATTTCCCATCTGCAGCAGCCTAAAACAAGTATCTGCATTAGTTATTCACATGCAACAGGTATCGAAATTAACAGGAGAAAAGAAAAAGTAGAAAAATCTTTAAAGACATCAAATGGACTTAGAAGCCTGGTAAATATAATTTAACGAGTTCCAACCAAATCAACGTCACAAAAATTTAAACAAAGGAAACCTGAGATGTCTAGAATACTTACTTTTGCTAACTTCAATGTATCAAATGAAACAACATACTGAGAACTGACTCCTAGCAGTGTCACCCTGCTCTGTCCTGACCCCTGTGGAGATTCCAAGCACACGCTCCATACTGTCAGTCTAGTGTTATTTCACTCTCCAGCTGAAAAGACCTTTGATGGCTCCCTGTGCCTACAGCTTAAAGTTTAAACCACTGTGCACTGTGCACTCCAAAATCTGGCTCTAGTTTACCTTTCCAGTCTTGTTTTCCACCTCCAATTCTCTAAGTCCATCACAACACACACTCCACACTATTCCATATCCACACCTTGCTCGAGCTATTCCTCTGCTTTGAACATCTTCCAGCCCACCACCTACTGAAATTCCATTCCTCCTTCAAAGTAGCAATCTTCAGTGGAAAGAGCCCAGCCTTGAAGTCCAGATCCAGACTCAGTAGATTTCTAATTTCATCCCCACTACTTAATAGCTTAATAACCTTGAGCAAATACTTCAGTAGACATGTTTCCTCACTTAGGAGCAGGCCCACCACCTGTGGCACTCTACAAGGCTACTGTGAGGATTAAGCATACTGGTTATAAGCTATCTAGCCCCATGCCTAAGGCACAGTAGAAACTTAATGGTACCTACTAAGCCATCCTTCTTCCCTGCTCCCACCCCCATCAATATGCCTATCACTCCCTAAATTCCCACAGCATGTTGTTTATACCACTGTGTTTATTACACTGTGAGCGCTAATACACTGCGGAATACTCATTTTTTATGTATGCACCTCACTTCTCCATTAGGTTATAGACAAGATGGTTACAGCTATGGATTTCTAAATCTCTGCCACTTACCACTTGAGCAAGTTATTTGACCTTTCAGAACCTGTTTCTTCATTAATAAATTGAATTGGGGTTAACACCTTAGAGTGTTATGAAGAGGTTTAAAAGAGTTAATATCCATCAAATACCTAGTATAACGCTTGACAATCAAATACCTGGTATAATGCTTGGCATTTATTAAATTTCTCCGAAGATGAATCTGATCCAAGCAGCACGGGTGCTTAAAGAACACACAAATGGTGAAATCCATTTGCTTTATTAAAACCAATTTCACAGTGCAATCTTAATACAACTTTAACCTGCTACTCACCTCTTACTGATAGAGATACCCAATGAAGACAAAAATGGAGGTTCCTATGCACTTTACCTGAGAAACGCTACCACACATTCATGTTCTTCCAGGACCAGACTAAGTACTTCAGGACTTACAACTCACATCACCTCACTACACTTAAAACAGCATGCAGGCTTATCCCTCAAGAGATGTAAAATGTAAAATGATCTGCCAAAGTTAAAACCCTGAAATTAGTGGTCCACAAGGAAGTGGAAGCTAGTTGCCTACTCTTTATTCACTCTGATTCTAATGTGCTGTGTCATCACTTTCCCTACTCAAAATTCCAGTCGAACTTCACCTACTACTATGGCAGTATTTTCCCATTTATACACTTCCAACCCACTGCTCAATTTAAGAGACAAAACACTTGAAAATTAACCGCAGTGAAATCTAATCAAGGAAATTACAGAAAAGTGGGGCCGTGCCAAAAAAAAAAGACTTAATATTAGAGTGTTTGCATTTCAATCTCAGTTGTACACTGACACTCGCACAGGTTGTACAGCACACACATCAAGAGCTCAGGAAAGGTTCTGGAAAGATGGACGTGGTTTTAAGTCTGACACCACCACTTAGTAGCTTTGAAACTTAAGCATGTTACTTACGCCTCACATCCCGCATCTGTAAAACAGGGACTGCAACAGTATGAATCTCACAGGACTGTTGTATTACATACATTAGCATGTATATATATACACAGTATATATACAGTATATAATGTATATATACAATAGTATATAATGTATATACATGATAATGCATTTTAAGTGTTCTAGCAAAGTACTTACAATATTTATTGCTATTGCCTGAGCGCTAAGGTTCTTAGTAAATATTGTGGAATTAATGAATATTTAGCACATTTTATATCAGGATATAAGTGTACTACTAACTTTAATTCTATCCCAAGTTAAATAATGTTTAATAGTAGCAATACTGATTGAGAGCAGTTTACAGCTTACAAAGCCCTAGTCATCCATAAACTCATCTGATTGCCAGAACATCCTTAGGGGATAAATACTTTAAAGATACGTGTTTTAGAAATAAGGAAACTGGCATCCATCAGGGTAACAAAGAGCCGAAGTTACCTATGTCTCCTCCTCCACTGAAATTCTCTAGCTCAGAGGTAAGTGCCAGAAGTTCTTAACCCAAACAGCCACTAAAAGGAGACAGAGCAAGTTACCACCCTCCGCAAGCAGAGTCAAGCACGTGAGTCCAGGAATAAGCCCGGGGTAGTAAACCCCGTCGGAAGCCACTGATGACATTAATAATGCTGCACTGTTCGCTTACGAAGTGTCCTCCTACACCTTCAGGGCGGGGGCCAGACCTGCACACCGCCGCCCCCGACCCAGAGCGCCCAGCACAGGACCTGGCACCCCAAGAGGCCCTCAGTAAATGTTTGTGGAAATGGCACTGGAGGCTGGTAGGAGGTTTTCCAGAGGCCCGAAACGAGGCCCACTCCGCGGTGGGGGTTAACCATCTCAGGAGATCCAGAATCGTGGGGTGCAGAGGGTCCGACCGGTAACCATGCTGGAAAGGACGGGTGAGGACGGGCGCCGCAAAGGGAAACCGGAGAAGCTGACCCGCTGAGGGGAGAGAGGGGAAGCGGGTCTGGCCGCAGCCACTGCTGGGAGGCCGGGGACCCACACAGGCTCGGGGCCGGGGGCAGCAGGGTAGTTGGCGTCTGGGGGGGAGGGGGCCGACTGCTGGTCTGAGAAGAATCTCGCGCCCAATCTGAGCAAGGTTCTGGGCTCCTCTAGGGACCCACTCCCTAGCCCGCGGCGGCATCCGCTGCACCGAGTACTCGCTGCTACCTGAAACTGCAGCAGCTTCTCGGTCTGCTCCTGGGTTAGATCCCGCTCCTCAGGCGCCGCCATCTTGCCGCCGCCTCTACGCTTCTGACCCGTCCGCACCGTCACCCGCCGGAAGTGACCTCAGTGGCAACCACATCCGGTCTGAACGGCTGCCGGCGGCGTGCAGATGCGTTTGGGCGTGCGGGCTCGGCCTGCGGGCCGGGGTTGGTGACGGTTCTCGCCGCCAGAGGGCAGCACTCTCGGGCCTAACCCGAGCACTTCCGGAAATCGTCGAGGAACTGTCTGTACAAAGTCGCCCTTAGGATTTATGCGACCGACAAATCTGCCAAACTTAGAGAGAGTCCGAATGCTCCAAACTGGGGAAGTTCCCGAATGTCACTCGGCAGATTTCACCTGCTCCTTAACCGTTTTCCCGTCATCTCCAATATGCCTGAACGTTTATTAGGAAATGGTGGCTGTTCCCAAATATGGGTTGATTGATGTTTTATTCCAGCCATGTTTCCAAAAACTCCTGACCATAGGTTCCGAAAGTTCTTGAATACTGGGGGCGGGGTGGGGGGCGTTTTCCAAGCCACCTTCCAGCTGGAGGCTGTATAAGGTGCTGGTCACTTGAAAGTCGTGACAAGGGGAGGGTATAGCCCAGTGGCATAGCACATGCTTAGCATGCACAAGGTCCTGGGTTCAATCCCCAGTACCTCCAATAAAAAATAAAAAAGTAATGAACTAAAAAAATACATAAATAAACCTAATACCGCCCCCCCTCCCGCCCAAACCATTTGAAAGTCGTGACTTGCAAGTTGCCTGCTAGGATTGTTCGTAATGGGCCACCCAGGTCGCTGACGATTAGTGGCGCTACCAGTCTTAGAGCTTTGGTCCACCCGTCTTGCAACTCTCTTCAACCTCCTCCATCGCTCTGCCCACTGGCCCATCTTCTCTGTGATCAAGGGAAAGGAGATCCCAGGACTGGACAAAGAAGACTTGGGTTCAGGTTCTGGTGTCCACCTGGCAAACTGCGGGACATCCCTGGGCAAACTGTTACCCAAAAAACTGCGTTTGCCTCTTGGCAGGTGTTGAGCCAAAAGACACAACAAAGCCAAAGATCCAGAGAAGGAAGGATTTATTACTTGTAGCCGTTAGGATAACACCGAAAATCTTTCCCAAAGTAGTGTCCCCAATAGCAAAACTGGGGAACTTTTAAGCTAAGGGTATATGCATATTCTTGAAGGTGCTTGGGTGGTCAGCAGAGTCCAAGCTTTAGTTGATTGACATCAGGAGGGTCAGAAAAGGTCAACATCAGCCCTTAGGTACCAGTTTTTCTGGTGGTTGAGCACTTCAGGCTAATCTTTACCTTTAAAAAGGAACTGGGAGTCTTTACAACTGAATCTTTGCTATTGTCACTTCTCTTGCCTGATAGCAATCCTTTGTTTCCACATTCTTTTGTTCCCACATTCTTTTATTTCCTTTGGATCATTAACTGCTGAGACCTGTTCAAGGACAAGCATTATGGCTAGGCTGACATCACAAAATGGCTAAAGCCAAAAATGGCTTCTCTCTCAAAAAAATTTTTTTTTCAGAGTTTTTAATATATATATAAATACATATATATTTAGTGAAGTATAGGCAGTTTACAATGTTGTGTCAATTTCTGGTGTACAGCATGTTTCAGTCATATATATACATACATATATTACTTTTCATATTCTTTTTCATTTTCATTATAGGTTACTACGAGATATTGTATATAGTTCCCTATGCTGTACAGAAGAAATTTGTATGTCTATTTTATATATTATATATATTGTATGTCTATTATATATAAATTAGTATCTGCAAATCTCGAACTCCCAATTTCTCTCTTCCCCCCACCCTGTTCCCCCCAGTAAGCATAAGTTTTCTATGTAAGTCTGTTTCTGTTCTGTAAATAAGTTCATTTGTGTCATTTTTTCAGATTCCACACATAAGTGATAGCATATGGTATTTTTCTTTCTGGCTCTCTCCAGGTCTTTCCAATGCAGTGCTGCAAATGGCATTATTATATTCTTTTTTATGGTGAAGTAGTATTCCATCACATATATCTTTTATGTATGCTTTCTTTATCCGATCATCTGTTGATGGACATTTAGGTTGTTTCCATGTCTCAGCTATTGTAGATAGTGCTGCTGTGAACATTGGGGTGCATATTAAAGGCTTAAATTCATCAGGAGACCTTACAATCCAAAAACATGTATGAGCCTAATAATAATAAAGACTCAAAATAGTGAGAAGCAAAAACTGATAGAACTAAAAGGAGGCAAAGACAAATCCACAACTGTAGTTGGAGATTTGAATTCTCTCTCAGTAATTGATGGAACAAGTATAAAGTAAATTAATATGGATATAGAAGACATACAACACTACCCACCAACTTGACTTAATTGACATAAAATACTTCACCCCAAAATGATAGGAAAACATAGTTTTTCAAGAGCACATAATAGATAAACAAGTTTTTACTGTATAGCACAGGGAACTATATTCAACATCTTGTAGTAACCTATAATGAAAAAGAATATATGTATGTATATGTATGACTGAAACATGCTATACACCAAAAATTGACACAACATTGTAAACTGACTATACTTCAATAAAAAAAAGTTTTTAAATTTTACCTTATAAAGTTGATTTTTAAAAAAGACTGATGAGATATAAATGTAATATGGAAACATTGTTTAGATTCTGGTTCTAACAGACCAACTGCAAAAAAATTATAAGACAATTATGAAAATCTGAATAGTTACTGAAGATACGCTCGTATTGATATTCTTATTTTTTAATCTATGATAATTATATTATTGTTGTAATGAAAGGGGATAAGAAGTCCTATTTTAGAGACATGCTTATGGATGAATTGATACAGCATGTTGGATTTGCTTTAAAAGAATTACAGCACAAGGCATTAGTGGGTATGTAGATGAAACGAGTTTGGCCAAATATTGATAATTATTGAAACTGGCTGATGGACACACTGGGGTTTATTATATTATCATAATTATAATTTTAGTACTATTTTATATCTTATGTTAATTTTGTTGTTATCTCTACATTTGTATATGATTGAAACTGTCCATAGAAAAACATTCTTTTTAAGGAACTTAGAAGTTATATCAACCAAATGCAATGCTGTGACCTTGTTTGGATCCTAAGTGGGCAAACCTACAATAGAAGTTATTTATGGCACAACTGGGGAAACCTAAATACTGACTAGATAATGGATGACAGTAAGGAATTTGGAAGAGGAACTTTTATTGATTTTATAATAATTTTGTGGTTATGTAAAAAAGACGATGAAGACTAAGGAGAAGGCGGGGCCAGGAGATGAAGCTGTAGTCACAGCCGTGATCACACCTGGCACACGGATCTTGGTTTCTTCCTATTCCTCGTTGAAGTGGCTTATCTTTTTTGCCAGTTTTATTGCGATGTGAATGACACACAATGCTGAGTAAGTTTAAGGTGTACAACCAGTTGATTTGATACATTCATATATTGCAAAATAATTACCACCATAGCTTTAGCTCACACATGTCTGACATTAATCATCACCGTTTCTTTTTTGATTGAAATGTAGTTGATTTACAGTATTGTGTTAGTTTTAGGGCTATAGCAAAATGATTCAGCCATATAAATATATATATTTTTAGATTATTTTCCATTAGAGGTTGTTATAAGATATTGAATATACTTCCCTATGTCATAGTCAATCTTGTTGCTTGTCTGTTTCATGCATAGTAGTCCATGTCTGTTAATTCCATACTCCTAACTTATCCCTGCCCCACCCCCACCATTGAGCCTTCCCCCTCCTTTCCCCTTTGGTAACCATAGTTTGTTTTCTAAGTCTGTGTGTCTGTTTCTGTTTTGTATATAGATTCACTTATATTGCTTTTTAGATCCACATGTATGTGATATATTTGTCATCCTCTGTCTGACTTACTTCACTTACTTTGGTAATCTGTAGGTCCAGCTATGTTGCTGCAAATGGTGACATTTCATTCCTTTTTTATGGCTGAGTAATATTTAGTTGTGTGTGCAAGTGTGTGTGTCTGTGTGTGTGTGTGTGTGTGTTTTATATATATACAACATATTCTTAGACTCATTGTCTGTTGATGGGCACTTGGGTTGTTTCCATGTTTTGTCTATTGTAAATAGTGCTGCTACGAACATTGGGGTGCAAGTATCTTTTTGAATCAGAGTTTTCATCTTTTCTGGATATATGCCCAGGAGTGGGATTGCTGGATCATATGGTAACTCCATTTTTTTGTTTTTGTCTGTTTGTTTTTGTTTTTTTTAAAGGAACCCCCATACTATTCTCCATAGTGGCTGCACCAAGTTACATTCCCGCCAACAGTGTAGGAGGGCTCCCTTTTCTCCACACCCTCTCCAGCATTCATTATTTGTAGGCTTTTTGATGCTGAAGAAATGGCTGCTTCTTCTTTTTTTTGTTTGTTTGTTTGTTTTGGGGTGGGGAGGTAATTAAAATGGCTTATTCTTAAGCCTAGAACATTTTGCTGCACCAGAAAGTGATAATGAGCTCAAAGAATGATGCAGACATTACAGAAACACAGGAGCTAGCTTGAAGGGGCTTCCAGTGACCCAATCTTGGACAATTTGAGCACTAAAATAAATAATGATAGCAAAGTACTACAACCTACTTGGATAAAGTTTATGAACCTTGTAGACATAACAAACAAACAGTTTATCAATATTAGAAAGCCAACCAATCTATGTATAAGGAATGATGGAACTGGAAAATTGCCATTTGGCAACTATCATTACAATGCCTAAATCATGCAAAAATCAATAGATGCTATAATGAATGAATGGGTGAAGTTTTACAGAGAGACATAAAATGTACAAGTCTTAGTGTTTCCCTCCACAAGGTATTTATTAATTATAAAGGGAAAAGTAGCGATTTTACAGTGGAGAAACCTGACAAACATCGTCTTAACTAAACGATCAATGTTAATATCACCAGTAACTGGTGAAGTTGACACAATGTGCTTTCTATTTTGATGCACTGAGAGGAACTCAGCAGCACATTTGTGTTATTCCTGCCAAACATGTTTAAGCTGAAT